GCTAAATTTCAATATTTTTTGCTAATGTTGGATGTAAAACAAAATCATATAAAAAATAAATAAAATTTACATGAGGCCTGGTCACAGACCGGGCCGCGGGGGCGTTGACCCCCGGAACTCTCTCCAGGTAAGCTCAAGGTAAATAAAATAAAATTTACAAAGTTAAAAATGAACAGTTTTCTAGATTTGCGAGCATGTAGCAAATCACTTTTCCATTTCAGCCCCCAAATGTAGTCTCCCATCATGTTTTCATTATAAGATCTCTGATATCTATATTCAAAGTCCATTATAAATTGGTGGAAGCGCTCCCTTTGCTCCTATAGCATGCTCCCATATGACCCTTGAAATTGTCTAGATGCATCAAGGATGTGGACCATATCTTTTTACCAAAGTCTCAACAAGTTCCACATAACTGTCAGCCTTGTTGTTTCCCAGAAAGCCCTGTGCTACAGCAACAAAACTCTCCCAGGCTTCCTTTTCCATCTCTGTGAGCTTCTTTGGAAATTCTGAGCACTCCATGATTTTAATGGCTTGTGGTCCAGTGAAGATACCAGCCTTCATCTTTGCCTCTGATAGCTTGGGAAAGAAGTCTTAAAGATACGTAAGGCTGCAGGGCTGTAACAAACTGTTTCATTAGCCCTAGTTTGATGTATAATGGAGGGAATAGAACCTTTTGAGGATCCACCAATGGTTTATGTTTGATATTATGTCTTCTTACTGAGAACTAAGTCCTTTGAGGCCAGTGCTTCTTCTGGTAATGTGCTGCTCTATCCCAATGACAGAGATAACAGGGAAACTTGGTAACACCTCCTTGGATTCCCATAAAAAATGCCACCATTTTGAAGTCTCCAATAACCACCCAACCATACTTATCAAAATTCAAAGTTTCCAGTAGAAGTTTCACACTATTGTAATCCTCCTTAAGATGCACTGAATAAGCCAAAGGAAGAGATGGATACTTGTTCCCATTGTGCAGAAGTACAGCTTTTAGGCTTGTGGAGGAGCTGCCAATGAAGAGTCTCCACTTATCTGGATTGCATGCAATTCCAATTGCAACAACCAGGCCTGATACATAATTACAATAGCATAGCCTGGCTTCATTAGTGAAGAAGTTTGAGAAATGTTGGTGAGGTTTTCTTTGGCTTGTCACTTGCACACTTTCATCCACCAAGTCCCACTCTTTGAGCCTTGAAATTTAAAGCTCAGCATTTGACTTTGTCAAACCAAGATCTCTGATAAGGTCATTGAGGTCTGTTTGGTTTGGTTGGTAAGGATTCCTCCCAACAGCTGCATCTGTGAGATCATAGTCTTGTTCACTGTGCTCTGAATTGCTGCTTTCTTCTTCTGACGGTTGAATTCTTTCTGGAGGTGTAGGTACAGGAAGATCAGCACTGTGTGGTACTGGTGCAATAGAAGAGGGAAGGTCTGGATAAAAAATAGCAGGTACATTTTTCCCAGTTCGGTGTTGGGAAGGATCCACCAGGCAGAAGTAGCAGTTGGTTGAGTGATCAGCGGGTTCACACCATATTCTAGGAACAGCAAACTTCATGGCTCTTTTTTCTCCTCTATACCATCCTGTAAAAGAACAAAAGAATTAGTTTTTGTTACATACATTTCATTTAAAAAATGTTCCTATTGAAGATTTTACCCTTCATAAAACTAATGATTTTCATACCTTCCAATGTTTTCTTACAATGTTCACAAGCAACATGAGGTGCCCAGGTCTTGTCTTGGTCCACAACTGGCATGACATAATATGCTTTGTAAGCTTCACACATTTGTTTAGATGCTGTTACAGAGAACTTCTTTGCTCTTGTCTTAATGAATTGACCACATATGTAGCAGAATGCATTTGGAGAATGATTGCAGCCTCTTGATGCCATTTCACTTCTTCACTTCTCAGGTAGCCAGAGCTGAACTGAATGCTGGTTTATGAGCCCGTTTATATATTTGCCAAGCAAAACCCTAGGACATAATAGTTTTACATCAGTCTTTCTTGAAAGTGTTCCAGAAGTGTCCTGACCACAAAAGCAAAGTTCTGGGATCAAAATTGCTTTTTTCTTTAATTTTGTATAGTTATAAAGAATTGGGAAATGATGCTTATTTCCCACGAACACGACAAAAGTGAAATTTTGTTACATAGTGTAAATTTGTTAGATACCAGTTTGCCCCAAAGGAGTGTATATCTCAGCATTTCATTCCTTATCTGAAGTGCTTAGTGGTACTCACTTCATTAGGGCGTAAACCCCGTGTATAACAGCCTGGACTAGGACAGCCCTAATCACCTTGTGTCTGCCTAAAACTGCAGTTTATAATTGGCGTTACAAGTGAGATTAAGACTCACCTTGCTCGTGTAACATGAGCTTATGGCGTTGACAGCGCCATTAAGGCCGATGTCGGTAACTTGACTGAAGGCTTGAGTGTCTCGGGGAATGTTGCACTGTTCGCCACTACGTCGGGAATGTTTGTTACAATCACTCGCAATACCGGTTGCTCTTCACCTTTCAGTACCATCTTTTGTTCATCGTTTCGTGGTACTATCCACAGCAGGGAGAACACAGAGACGCAATAACACTACGTTCTACCGCGAATTTCCTGACTCATATAAGGGAACTATTATAACTTTCCTAGTTACCTGGGATTGTCAGAATGAACAATAGTCAAGAATGCACTGATCACTACTGTCCCTTTGTCTTTTAATGATAAGGAGGCAACGCCCTCGTGACACACGTCTTGTCTGTTCCTTGAAGCAATCTGAGGCGCCCCGCCCTCGTCGCCCTCCTCCTCATCGTCCCCATAAAGGATATGCTGAACTCAGCTTTATTTCTTTATTGCTACACATTGCAACAGTATTCAATACAAGAGGGTAGATATCTTGTTTTCTATCTATAGACTAGAATTCATAATAGTCCCAACTTGTAGATAAAATGGGCACAGGGTTTCCCTTAATTCCTGCTAAGGGTAAAACGAGTAATTACTCTGATTGTATAGTAATAATAATAATATCTTTATTTACTACAATTACATGTACAAGGTATACAGGTCTAGATGACATCAATGACATATTACTATATAGAAAGCCGCTTGTTATGCAGAGCATTTTGGGCAAATTATGTCAGTTTTGTCCCAGGAAGCGACCCACACCAATCAACTAACACCCAGGCATCCACTCTACTGATGGGTGAACACAGACAACCGGTATAAGGAAAACACGTCCAGTGTTTCCACCCCTTCGACGGGAATCGAACCCGGACCCCCTCACCGTGTGAAGCGAGAACTTTTGCCATCAGGTCACGGGGGACACCGTTAGTTGCAACAAGAACTCTAGGAAGGAGATGAAAGCGTGCCTCGTGATTCTACGGTACAAACATCTGGTCCTTATAAAGCTGTTAGCGAGGAAGAGTCCACTAGCCCCTTCCGGGAGGGCTAAGTCCCTCAGAGGGCTGAGGGGGGGGGGCTGAGAAATACCCCTTTTACTGGAGAATTTTCTCCACACCATAATTATGATTCGTATATTTCTGAAATCAGTGAAGCATGTTTTAATGATTATAATGGCTCAAAAAATATTTAAATCATATTTAAATCATATTATTGTATTAAAACTATCAAATAAAGCAAAGATAAATTTGTCATTAATCGTTAAAAATACTGATAAAAAACAAATACAAAAAAATAAGAGATAAAATAGTGAAAGTCTTAATTATACTTTTTGTCAATTCATTAAAACTGGAATAGGTTTGCAGAAGTGTAAGTTTGTAATGTTTCAAAAATCTTTAAACACTATAATAGAGTTATTATTAATTATAGTTCGATTTTCTTAATCTCTTAACATATTTGGTAAAGCTGTGGGAACAGTCACTGGGGACCACACAGCATCATAAATTGTAGAGACATAACATAATCTCCTGAGAAATCCGTATCATAATCTAGTGAGAAATCCGTATAGTAATCTCCTGAGAAATCCGTATCATAATCTAGTGAGAAATCCGTATCATAATCTCCTGAGAAATCTGTATCATAATCTCCTGAGAAATCCGTATCATAATCTCCTGAGAAATCCGTATCATAATCTCCTGAGAAATCTGTATCATAATCTCCTGAGAAATCCGTATCATAATCTGAGAAATCCGTATCATAATCTCCTGAGAAATCCGTATCATAATCTAGTGAGAAATCCGTATCATAATCTGAGAAATCCGTATAGTAATCTCCTGAGAAATCCCTATTGTTTAAGAAATCCTCTCGAGTATGAACGTATTTATTATAAATTTAAAGAGAAGTGGAGCGTAAAGTTGAATTATAATAAATTTAATTGAAAAGGTGAGAGAATTTCATGACTCGTCATTGTTCGGGAACATGAAACTTCTTCATATGTTGACATATAATTGAATATTCTATAATAATAACAGTTTATCAACAAAAATAATCCGAAAGTATTTTTTACAATACGTACTTACAGTTTTTGAGAAAGTTTTTATTATTCAGTTTCGTATGAGAGATTCCAGTGATGAGTCAAGTTGTTGATATAGAAGATTGTGTAGTAGTATTAATGGATGGAAGCGTAACTTGAAGAGCAGCTGTCTACACACAAACTGCTGGTATTCTTTAATAATGGTATATGTTATGTAACAAATGGAATGCCACAGAGGCCAGTCTTGGGGCCACTTCTGTTCTTCATTTATCTAAACTTCATTGATATATAATTTGTAACGCTAAACAGGACTAAATTCTCTGATGAGAAAAACTAATGAGTTAAGTTACAAGTGAACTGTATCATCGAGGATTGTGAGGAGACTTAAAGAACTTAATAAACTGTATTAATACACGTAGAAGAAATAACAAATCTGCTAAGTGCAAAGTAATGAATTTAAAACAAATTTGAAAATGCAGTTTTATTATTGAAACTAGTTTTTATTAAGATAAATGAATAAAAAAAACATGGGTGCAATAGTGGCATATTTCAGGCCAGAGAAGTAGCGTTTTAAAGGAAAATAATATATAATTGATACTTAGGCTTTATTGGTATAACAGAGAAGTATTAACACGGGAATGTTGTGCTCACGTTACATAAGTCTTTGTTTCATTATATTCTTCAATATTTTTATGTGCAGTTTTGTCCTCGTAATAAAGATAAAATATTGAGAAACTAACAAGGGATACAGTTAGTATTATTATAGGCGTCATTTATCCTTCTCTAATAATGTAATAAATTACTTGATAAAAGAGGACAAAAATGGAAAATTATAACACAGGATCAAGCATAAGCATGTGGACAGACTAGTGTGTTAGTTACGCAAGATAAAGTGCTTATGTCGAACACCTGACCACCAGTACAACTGTACTGACGGAGGATAAGGCCGCCTGAGCCTGATGCTGGGTTGTTACAAGTGTAGTACTTCTCACACTTACACTCAGGGTAGGCATACACTCCTGCTACTTTATTAACACACGATGCAACCTCACAGCTAGGCGTGGTAGTGGTGGTGGTAGTTGGAATGATGATGGTGGTAGTAGGTGTGGTGGTGGTGGTAGTAGGAGTGGTGGTGGTAGTAGTAGTAGTGGTGGTGGTAGTTGGAGTGGTGGTGGTGGTGGTAGTAGGAGTGGTGGTAGTGGTAGTAGGAGTGGTGGTGGTGGTAGTAGTAGGAGTGGTAGTGGTGGTGGTAGTTGGAGTGGTGGTGGTGGTAGTTGGAGTGGTGATGGTGGTAGTAGGTGTGGTGATGGTGGTAGTAGGTGTGGTGGTAGTGGTGGTTTCTTCTGGATTAGGGGTCGTGGTAGCCAATTTAGTTCCGTTTATATCAACGCCTGCACAAAGAGGGACGGTGTTAGGGGCTACGCAGAAGCCAGCTTCACCAGTTACTTCGTCTACTATCATATAACCCATGCCAGTACACTTGTGATCCCCAGGACACGGCTCACCTCTGTAAGTGGAAATAAAGTTTGAAAATAAACAAAGCCAGCAACTTGTAGACTCATACAGTAATTAGCGAACCATTGTCAAGATGTTTTTCAATCGCTGCAGTATGAGAGAGATAAATATATTCCGTATCTCATAACTCCTCCCTCTGTAATTTAAAGCATGCTAGATGTGTAATAGCTGTACCTGAACTTTCTCAAGCGACGTAGTAACAATAAGTCAACCTTTCTTGCCCAAGAGGTCTAGAAATTAGTGATCATCTGTCTCAAGAGGTCCAGTACCATTATTCCTTTCAGAACCTTTAGTCCTTAAGCCAAGAGGCTCAAGAGCAGCTTATAAACATTTTTAAGTGCCCTAGGAGCTACAGTTCAACCTAGTCAGTCATTGTGGAAATTCGTAATGAGTCAGACATAACTATGCATATCCATGTCCAAGGAGCTTCAGGGGGCCCTCGGGCAATTTCCGCGCGCGCTCAACCAAAATTCGAAAAATTATGAAAGTTGAGTTATATATACCGAAAAATAGCTTAACTCTTTGGCAGCACAATGGTACCAGAATGAATGTTCTACGACGTTTCTACAAGAAATTATAGTCATTTATATCAGGTATAGTGACGGTGATATTGGTAGCGAGTCTGTTCACAGCCCATATATATTTTGGTACATCATTCGCTGCCTGACCACGGTGGAGTGCGGTTGTGCTCTGCACCCCTCTGCTGTTTTCAGGCGAGCTACCTCAGTTCATCAACAACCATTGAGTAGTGAGGACGTGCGCTGCTCATTTTGGGATATCAAAATGGCGGAACATACAGTACGGAGAGTAAATACTATCTGCATAGAGCTGGTTCGTGGTACGTTAAGTGGAGATACGATGAACGTCCTTCTCCCTAACATCATCAGGGATACATATGGTATTCCCAACGAGGAATTGTATGGCGTCGCTCTTAATGGTTTAACAAGAATCTTTGTGAAATTTCTACGAGCCGGCTTCTACACAAGAATTGTCGAGCATTACCAGGAACAACGCATGAGTGTGAATTCAGCGATGGATGTTGTGTTACATGACGTCTCTAAGTACTTCACATGGGTGAAGGTACGGAATGTACCCTTCGAGGCTACGGCTTATGGCCTACAGGAGCTTTTTCGCAGTTATGTGACAGTGCATTCTGCAACTATGGGGGTGTGGAGGGATGGTCCGTATGAAGGAATGCCGGAAGGTTCCTACACCCTTAAAATGTCTTTAACAAGGCCTATACCATCCTATGTTACGATGATCGGTTGTAGAACACAGGTTTATGTGTACTATGCTGGGCAACGGAAAACATGTCGTCTGTGTAGCTCTTATGAGCACATGGCAGCCCAGTGTCCTAGGAGGCGGACTTCTCGAATTCTGGAAACTCCAATTGTGATTCAACAGTCGTGTGATTTGGTGCCTGGCTCTGATGCCTCGGGAGGCCGGAGGCCTGACCTCTGGAGCGAAGAGGTCGACCGGGAGGTGGCGGCGGCGGAGACATGTGTCACTCTCCCAGGGGCATCGGGGGAGTCGAAGGTGACATCTGAGGAGTCTATCGTCCAGGAAACTTCAACCCAGGATGGTTTATTGGCAGATGTGATCAAGGATTTTATGGATGGGGAGGAACCCTGTGCAAAAGGTGTCCTCAGTTTATGTGAAGCTGGAGCGTTGGAGGGACAACAAATTGTGGAGGAAGACTTGGGTAAGAAAGGGCTGGAGCGTGTGGTGGCCGTGGAGGTACACCAGGAGGATTCGTCTGAGGGTGATATGTGTGTAAGTGGGAGTTCTAGGAAACGAACTGCGGCATCAGAGATAGACGAGGTCATTACCCCGGGGCAGAGGCCGGGGAAGAAGTCATGGGCAGCGGTTGTGGAGCCAATGCCACATAGTGGTAGAGGTGCGCCTGAGCTGCAAAGTGGGAAAGAGAGGGGGGAGGTGACTGCACAGGAAAACTCGAGTGGCAAAGGAACACGTAATATGAAAAGTGCAGTGAGTAAATCCCAGAGGCATAGGGGAAAGCCGCTCCTTCTGTAATTTTCAGATGTGTCACACTTAATGTTAATGGACTTAAGACTGAGGTCAAGAAAGTTTGGTTGGAGTGGTTTTTAAGGCAGTTTGATGTTGACATATACTTTTTGCAAGAGCATAATCACAGGGCTGGTTGTGTGTTGCGGGTGAAAGGATATCGGATATATGTTACCAGTGGTTTGCAATTGAAAGGTGGGGTAGCAGTGGCGGTAAAGGAGACCAGCCCCTTGCGTGTCATCGGTTGGGAAGAGAGGGGGGTGGGAGGGTCGTGAGGGTGGATGGTGTCTGGGGTGAGAGTCGAGCTAGTTTCGTAGGAGTTTACATGCCAGCAACTAGCAATACCAGGGTAAAAGTAGATTTTGTCAGAGAGGTATTGCTGTATCACTTGAGAGGTTTGCCTGCTATAACAGTAATAGGAGTGATTGGAATTGTGTGATTAGAGTGGTGATGTCGAACCGAGAGGGGCGGGTTTGTGTGCTGAGTGTGCTGAGGGATGTATTGTGAGATATTGGGGTTGTTGATGTGGTGGGGAGGGGGGGATACCTAGTGGAGCATACGTTCGTCCGTAGGGGATATGAAGTGCGATTGGACAGAATTTATATTAAGCAGGGTATAGATGTTGTGAGGGTGGAAACCTTCGATGTGGGGTTTTCGGATCACAGGGCGGTAATAGCAGATTTGATGTGGGATGGAGTGGTGCGTATTTATTCTGGGTACTGGAAATTAAATGTAAGGCTTCTTAAGGAGGAGGGGGAGGGGCCTTTTTTCAGTGATTGGTGGTTGCCTTTTTGGGAGGCTAGGGACAGGGAGATAGATCTGTTAGATTGGTGGGAAATGCAGCAAAACCTGGAATAGCAAATTTTTTTTAAGGTTAGGGACGAGAAGAGGCGAGGTGGCGTTTTGGGTTGCAAAATTATCTGGAGGGACAGTTGCAAGATTGTTATGTTGGGGGAGGTGGTAGGAGGGATGATATGGACAGTCTGCGGAGTAGAATCACTGAATTACACAATGATAGGTTTGGTGCAATTAGGGTTAGGGCGGGGTTAGAGGATGTTTTGTGGGGTGATAAGCCGTCTGGGTTTGTTTTACGTAAATTTAGGGACCGACAGAGTGTAACCACCATTCTACAATTGGAGACAAGCCCTGGGGTGGGAGGGTATCCAGAGGGTCGAGTCCTATCCAATACGGAAAGTATGAGTCTCTATGCAGATAGTTGGTTTAGGGAGAAATGGAGTTGGAGGGAGGGGGGTTCCTGGGAGGGTATTTTTGAAGGGGGGTTCCATAGCGTTTTAAGTGAGCAGGATAGAGTAGGGTTGGAGGTTGGTATAAGTGAGGTTGAGGTGGAAGAGGCAGTTTTCGGGATGAGTACCAGGAAAAAACCAGGGATAGACGGTATACCAAATGATTTTTATAGAGCACATTGGGGGTGTATTAGGCAGTGCTTTGTTAGGCTATTGGATTCATGTTAAACTAGTGGGAAGTTGGGCACATCGCAAAGTACGGGTGTCATAGTTTTGGTGCCAAAGAAGAGGGGGGGGGGGAAGAGAGTTGAGTGCTTACCGTGCAATATCTTTGATGTGCGCAGATTACAAGGTTTTTGCGAAAATTTTGGGTAATAGACTGAAGAAGGTCATGGGGTCGGTGATACATGGGGGACAGTTTGGTATCCCGGGGAGGAGTATGCGGGTAGGTCATGGACGTATTCGGGATTTCCTTGAGGGTAGTAGTAAGGGAGGTATTCTAGGTCTGGATTGGGAGAAAGCTTATGATTATGTGGATAGGGAATTTTTGATTGAGTGTATGGTGAGAATGGGTTTTGGAGGGAGGGTGGTTGGATGGGTGAGGACTTTGTATGAGAATGCATCGATGAGAGTACAGGTAAATGGTAGGTTGGGTAGTTCTGTTAGCAAGCCGCTAACCAGACTGAGAGTCGAAGATCAAAATGAATTTTTTATGAGAGAGCCACAAAATTTGATTAACACAAGCCTATCCGATGTTATCCTGACGCCAAATGACTTCGAACAGGCGATAAATGACATGCCCATGCACTCTGCCCCAGGGCCAGACTCATGGAACTCTGTGTTCATCAAGAACTGCAAGAAGACCCTATCACGAGCCTTTTCCATCCTGTGGAGAGGGAGCATGGACACGGGGGTCGTCCCACAGTTACTAAAAACAACAGACATAGCCCCACTCCACAAAGGGGGCAGTAAAGCAACAGCAAAGAACTACAGACCAATAGCACTAACATCCCATATCATAAAAATATTTGAAAGGGTCCTAAGAAGCAAGATCACCACCCATCTAGAAACCCATCAGTTACACAACCCAGGGCAACATGGGTTTAGAACAGGTCACTCCTGTCTGTCTCAACTATTGGATCACTACGACAAGGTCCTAAATGCACTAGAAGACAAAAAGAATGCAGATGTAATATATACAGACTTTGCAAAAGCCTTCGACAAGTGTGACCATGGCGTAATAGCGCACAAAATGCGTGCTAAAGGAATAACAGGAAAAGTCGGTCGATGGATCTATAATTTCCTCACTAACAGAACACAGAGAGTAGTCGTCAACAGAGTAAAGTCCGAGGCAGCTACGGTGAAAAAGCTCTGTTCCAAAAGGGCACAGTACTCGCTCCCATCTTGTTCCTCATCCTCATATCCGACATAGACAAGGATGTCAGCCACAGCACCGTGTTTCCTTTGCAGATGACACCCGAATCTGCATGACAGTGTCTTCCATTGCGACACTGCAAGGCTCCAGGCGGACATGAACCAAATCTTTCAGTGGGCTGCAGAAAACAATATGAAGTTTTAAGATGAGAAATTTCAATTACTCAGATATGGTAAACATGAGGAAATTAAATCTTCATCAGAGTACAAAACAAATTCTGGCCACAAAATAGAGCGAAACACCAACGTCAAAGACCTGAGAGTGATCATGTCGGAGGATCTCACCTTC